AAAAAAAAAAAAAAGAAAGAAAGAAAGAAAAAAGAAAAAAAAAAGGAACACAAGCTTTGGAGCAGGTCTGCTATTCATACCCAAATACCTCCCCTTAATCTCTTTCGGTCTCATTTACAAGGTCCAGCTCCAGAGGAATGGAGTCAGTGTTGTGAAGTAAGAAAGTTAATATTTCATTTATATAGGCGAAGGGGTGGCCAGCCCCTCCACACTTGTGGGTGTCAGGTGGAACCAGAGACTTGAGAAAATAAATAAGAGAGACAAAGTAGAGAGAAAGAAAAGTGGGTCCAGCGGCACTCAGCATACGGAAGAACCGCTCTGGCACTGGTCTCTGAGTGCCTTCAGTATTTATGGATCATTATCTCTACCATCTCGGAGAGGGGGATGTGGCAGAACAATAGGGTAATAGTCAGGAGAGGGTCAACAGGAAAACATGTGAACAAAGGTCTCTGTGTCATAAATAAGTTTAAGTAAAGGTGCTGTGCCGTGATGTGCACACACACAAACATCTCGGTGCAATAAAAAGCAGTATTGCCGCCAGCATGTCTCACCTCCAGCCCTAAGGCTGTTTTCTCCTATCTCAGTAAATAGAACATACAATGGGGTTTTACACGGAGACTTTCTATTCTCATGGACATGCAGGAGACAGATGCCTTCCTCTTAACTACAAAGAGGCCTCCCTCTTTCACTAATCCTCCTCAGCACAGACCCTTTCCAGGTGTCGGGCTGAGAGACCATCAGGCCTTTCCCTTCCCAGGAGGCCATATCTCAGGCTATCACATGGGGAGAAACCTTGGACAATACCTGGCTTTCCTAGGCAGAGGTCCCTGTGGCCTTCCGCAGTGTATTGTGTCCCTGGGTACTTGAGATTAGAGAATGGTGATGACTTTTAACAAGCATACTGCCTTCAAGCACTTTTTTAACAAAGCACATCCTGCATAGCCCTAAATCCGTTAAACCTTGAGTCAACCCAGCACATGTCTCTGGCTTGGGGCTAGGGTTGCAGATTAACAGCAAGTTGAGGCAGAAGAATTTCTCTTAGTACAGAACAAAATAGAGTCTCATGTCTACTTCTTTCTACATAGACACAGTAACAGTCTGATCTCTTTCCCCACATATAGGCAAGCACACAGGACTTTTTAGCACGGTTACATTTTTCATAGAAGATTGGTACATAGTTATAGTAATTTGGTTGGCTATAGACAATGTTTCTTTTTGGGAAAAGTACATGTAACTTTGTTTTTTTTCAATGTTTTTGATTTGGAGTCTGGCACTGTTGCCTGAGCTGGAGTGCAGTGGCACGATCTTGGCTCACTGCAACCTCCTCCTCCTAGGTTCAAGGGATTCTTCTGCCTCAGTCTCCCAAGTAGCTGGGATTACAGGCACCTGCCACCACGCCCGGCTAATT